TCTACTCTCCTCTCTCTCTCTCTCTCTCTCTCTCTCTCTCTCTCTCTCTTCCATAGGCATCTAATATAATCTATAAGAGGCGATAGAGCACGATCGAAACATGCTAAGTCTGGCGTATTCGATCGAAATTGTTTAAATATAGCTCTCGCGCATTTGTGACAAATAAATACTTTAAATATAATATGACAATTGAAATAATTATTATCATGTTGTTTTTTATTTCGTTTCATAAAATATAGAATATGGAAATGAGTTTTCTATTCTCCAGTTTTTAAAAATCGTCAAGTGAGAAAAAATTCTTTGCAAATTCGGGCAAATTATACGAATTTTTGCCATTACGAAATCGACGTAAAAATACGAAACTTGGGACAAGGTCGCTAGTAAAATTCGGCTGTTCTCCAGCGTGGAGACAGCTAAAGACTCGACATTTTATTCGAGTAATCTCGACAACGCGTCGTCCTCGATCAACGAACTCGAAGAGCCGCGAATGAGCACGACGTCGTCGCCGCGCGTCTCTTATCGCCTCTGTAATAATTTAGGATTTATCGACTTTTTTCCATCGCACTAAGGCCGCGGATCGTCGATACGAACGTGACGAGGTCCCACTTTTTTTGCGAGATCGATTTTATCCAGCCTGGCAATAGAACGTTCAGCTACTCGCTTTTAAATAGACTTCCAGATCATTTGCTTTAAAATAAACTCAACAAATAACGAATTTTCTCTATTTTAAAATCCTAATCGAACGATGCCTGTTATTTAAATGTTTAATCTTAAAGACTAAGATTATTTCTCGTAAAGTAATTAGAATTCACAGTATAAAAGTGATTACTTATGCACAAAGCTTCCTCAGGCTTACATTTTAAAATGAAATTTATTGCCTGATGATTCTTATTTATGAAAAAATTCGAGCTATTGAAATAATAAAATCCGAATAATAAAAACGCGAGGAATTTGGAACGTCTTATACATCGATGATATTTTTGTGTTGATTTATGATGCCTAAATGTAATGTTGTGTTTTCGCAATACACCATATATTCTCATCATTCGTTTTCTTTTTACGAAAAATAATATATGTATTATCCATACTGTCAGACCTGATAGAAAGTATTGTAACTGCAATTTTTTTCAGTGAAAATATTTCAATAATAATTCTCTCACTCTTCTCTCCAAAGGTTATTTCATTAATTACACAATAGAAACAAAAACGTTTTGAATCTTTAAATAAATATAGAAAATCTGAATAGCATATTAATCTACTTTTTAACGTAACTTTTTTAACGTATCGCTAATATAATAGCATTTTAAACTCAAATAATCATAGACATCATCATAAAATTTCGAAAATTGCAGTTACAAATGCTTTGCATTCTCGCTCGATGTTATTGACAAGACAATACCTTTGAAGCGTCAGGTATCCTCTGGAGCCCGAGGCCTTGCACGATGCTCCTCCTGATGATCTCCAGTTCATCGTCGCCGAGATTGTTCCTCGGTAAATCCTCTTCTCCGACGCCGTCCTCGAAGACCGACGACGACGACGGCGCGGCCAGCACCGCGTCGCAGAGCAGACTCGTCGCGAGCAACCCCAGAAGAAGAACTCGCTGGGCGAGGCGGACCCTTGGCAATTTCCAACGCGTGTCAGTTTTGATTCTTCGCCACGCTCGTCCGCCTGGATCGATCTTCGCGGGAAATCGCGAAGTGGACGACGTACTCGTTTGATGAATCGTCTCTTCGGCGAGAACGCACAGTCGCTCCTCGCACGGAGCTTGGATATCGATCTCGATCAGTCTGGCGGGATCGCCACTGGTCCGAGTATTCTCCGCGTCGACATCGCCATCGATCGACCCTCCGATCTCGCGGACAGCTGTCGGCGAGTCGTCATCACCGTGACTGGACCCATCGTTCCTGGCGCGGCTGAACGAGATACGTTCATTGCACTTGGAAAAGTCCGTGATGTCGACGGGCGGGACCTCGAAAAGCCGACCTCGCTCCACTTTCTGTTCTGTCGTAATACTATCCGTACTGCGGAGCAGCGTTTCTCCGGATCCAGCGTCGGACGATCTGCTACGAGCCGGTAAGACGATTCCGCCGACCCGCCGACTCCACCGTACGACAAACGACACGCGACCGGCGGCGTGGAGGCCGCCGCATGTCGCCCGCTCGCGGATCCGTCTGCGCCGCGCGGGAAGCGCGGCCGCGTCGGCCGAGACGCAACAAGTGCGACGGTCGTCGTCGCCGACGATTCTGACGTTCCAAAGTCCCACGTTGGCCGCGGTCGCGCTGAGAGCGCAATTCCGCGCGGCATTCTGCTCATCGATAACGCGATCGGTCCTCGACGATCCGCTCGGGTCGTGATCCGTCACCCGGACGGCCTCGGTCTCACCTTCGACCTCACCTTCGACATGCCACGTATTCCTGCGCGGCCGCCGCGCGATCTCGCCGGCGATTCCGGCGTCCCGACGCCTCCGGCGCACGGCACCGATCTCCGCCGCGGATTCCTCTCCCCTCGTCGCGACGTGTTCGCATGTCGACGCGATAAGGAAACGACGATCGCGATCGGCGACAGCGCTGGACCGCGCTTCCGCATCATCGACTATCACCGCCGTCGCCGCCGCCGCCGCCGCCGTCGTCGTCGTCCTCGTGGTCGTCGTCGTTGTCGTCGTTTGCTGTTCCTTTTGACTGTCCGTCCTTGCGTTATCAGGAATAGTATCACTACCAGGAATTATTGGGAGCTTGCCCATAGCCAGGAACACGATCTCGGTATCACGCCGGCTACCAAATCCGTAACTCTTTCTGGATCACTCGTGGATGAATTCCTCGAGGCGACAGACGAGTATCTCCGATCCGATCGGTTCCGTTTAATTCTGGTTACTTCCGCGTTCACGGCGATCTCTCCGCGGAACGACTCGTCCCGAGAGAAAGAGAGCTTGCGCGTTTTCGCTTGTCGCGATCGAGATTCCCGATCAATTTCTTTCAGGAGCCGACGCGCGGCATTCTAGGAGCGCGCCGCGGGACAAAGATCGGAGCGCGGGCTGCAGCCGGATGTCCAACGGGGAGACCACACGTCCTGCTTCCTCTTCCCGTTGGCGAACGGCGACGTCATCGCGCAAAATGTCGCCGGCGAGTAATTAGTCCGAAGTTTTTAATATCACGAAGGTCGGATTTCTCTCCGAGACGATTTTCGCCGTCGAGCGCGTGGAAGGATCGGAGGTGAATTAAAACACTTCTTTCTTCGAGTCTCTCTCTCTCTCTTTGGCTACTACGACTCTCTTTTTCCTTTCTCTCCCTCGACCGCAAGAGGAGGGAAGGAGAGCACGAGGAGACCCGCTTGGTACGAGTGCCGCGTGTCGACTGCTCGCTATGATATCGCGTGTGCATGTATATATCCGAGTCCGCTCCCGCCGCGGCGCGTCGCGCAATGCGCGCGCGAGCGAGAGCGAACGAGAGCGAGCGAGAAATCCCTCGAGAGCGAGCGAGACGACCTGGCCACCGTCAGACCGAGAGTCGGAGGTGTCAGCGAAATGGGGTGGATAGGAGCGCATTTTCCACGTAGAGTACACACACGACGCGTGCAGGACATCCTGATCTTCGGTCATCCGTGATCCCGATTCTTGGGAGTTCAAGGAACATTCGGATTTCATGACGCGTAGGTGACGGCTATTAAGAGATAAATATATAGTATTCGATATATAACGATATCTTTCTCCGGTTAATAAATTTTACTTATGACTGTTTCTTCTAGAAAGGAGAGATAGTGATTTCAAAATTATCGTTATTATTTGACTTTTACGATTTTTTTGAAAAAAATTAAATGTTTGTGCAAGACGTTGCAAAAGAAAGCAGTAATACGAGTACAAAATTTATGTATAAATGTATCTAATATAATATAATATAAGTTTTATTGTTGATGTTATTTATTAATTATTAGATGCCAGCGAATGTACGAAAGATCTTAAAACTCATGGGAATGGGAATCCATAAAGATTACACATTAATTATTAACTATTATAAATTATAACTATTAATTTAAAATAAAACATGATATTTCCTTCACGTTTATAAATCTATACTTATACATTTTTGTCAAAAGAGAGGAAAAATTATTCTTTCCTCATCAAAATCAATTAAGCGGAATATAAAACTGGAGCCAATCGTAGATACATATTTCTCAAGCGATTTTTAAGATTTATGAAATTCTCTAATCAGTTATATCTCTTTTTCACAAAATGAAGGACTGAGAATATTTGACGATTCAGTCGTCGAATTCTATCTCGAGAGATCCGGTGGCGAGTCCGTCTCCATTTCGAGTGTCCCTCCGGTTTTTTCGTTCCTTCGCAATCACAGAACTCGTCTCCTCGCGCCGGGTAAAGGGCCGGGTAAAGGGCCGAGTAAAGGGCTTCTCGGAATTTCGTGCACCGACCGCGACTGCGGCCGGCGGTCGAACGAGATAGCCGGCGAAAGATCCGAGAGAACGACTCGAACGAGTGACCTCCTCCTCCTCTGTTCCGGCTCTCTTTCTTTCTTTCTTCCTGTCGAACCTTCATCCTCGCCGGAGGATCCGTCTTGCATCTTCCGGCTCCTTACATCATGCGTCTTCTCGCGGCGCCTTTAAGTGCATCGGCATCTAAAGTTCAATTACGCGAGACAAAGAGTATAATAAGGCAATCGCATTCCCCAGCTCTTTGCAACACCCTCCACCACCCTTTCTCGCGTAATCGTTGGATATATGCTCGTCGTTTGATGTCTAATTACGAGGCGTAATCGAGTCTCGATCGAGTCGCGATGTTTTGCTGATTTATCCCATCGAGACTAGGCTCCCTATCAGATTTGCGAAAGTGACTGCATACTTCGATAAGCCTTTTTTCTTTTAAATTAAAGGCAATATACTTTGATCGTAAAATTTATCTTAAATTCGACTCTATCTCCATCGGGATTCATTAGATAGCGCGCTGTAGATAGCCGATAAAGCAAAAGTCGTAAAAAAAGAAGAAGCAAGAATTTAGGTTTACGCGATATTAACATAAATATGTAATCCTTTTATCGGCTCATTACATTCGAGGAGTGAGGAGAGGTGCAAATCCAAGTTCCGAAAATGGAAATTAACGGAGGAAACTCGCGAGGAAATAAAGCAAACGCGCCCCCGCGTCTACGGAAGTATAAGAATTATACATCCACATTGACCTCCGACCCGCGATTATTCCAATCGCGTAACCCCATTCGATTTTCTCGTTAACGTTCCACTTAGTCTTTCTTCCGGCGATAACGAGCACCAGGCGGGTCGCAGCCCCGGCTTTCGTCAGGTTTCGTCACTTATCTTCGATGCCATTTTTCTATGAAACGCGAGCACATTCAGAAGAGAAATGATCGTCGTCTCGATTCTCGCGTTCTATCGACCAAGATACGCGATTTCTTCCACGATTTCCTACAATCGGTGATTTCTCCGTGGGACGTAACGGACGTAAATCGGAAGGAGATTCCGCTCGGAAGGAACCATCGCGAACTTTCGCTCCTGGGGAAGATCCGTAACTTCTGACAACCTCACTAAGACTGCGTTTTTTATCGCGAGACAAAACCCGTAAGTACGATCTGTGAACGATAAAAAATAAAATAATCAAACACGACTTTCTACGAGGATGCACCTTGTCACGCCACACACGTACCGAACGAATCGAGAAATTAAATAAATAAGCCTGAAGTTTTTTTGCGATGAGTCTTCCGCAAAAGCCTGCTGAGAGGCGGATTTATTTCCGAGGTGAGTCTCTCGCGAGCTTTCGCCTGTACACATTGTGGAATCCAGGTGGTTAATCAGCGAGAAAGTCAGCGGGAAAATCAATCATAAAAAAGGACGGACGGAATCGATCGGCGTACGAATACGTGACGATCCGGGCTTTACGCGCGTCCTCCTGATGGGGATCGAAGTTCTCAGGTGTGTGCACATGACTAACGAACGATGGTATATAGTGGTGGTGGTATTCGGCGGGATTATTCTTCATCCTTCTCTCTCTCTCTCTCTCTCGTTTTCTTTCCCTCCGCCAGGTTACACGCAGGTTGAAACAAACATGACCGCAACGGAATCCCCGCATGAAGTCACCTCCCGGAAATCACCGATCGATTTCGGGGAAACTACGGTCGCGCGAGCGCGACACGTGCGAGTCCCTCGCCCTTTTTCGCGGAAGCGGGGCGGTTTTCGCGTGATGATCCGTTAATGTTGGTACATTAGCGAGATTCCGGATAATTGCCAGGATAATACGTCGCAAGGAGTGCCGTGGGGACATTCGCGATCTCCGCGGAAATCCCCGAGAGGCTGACAATAAAATCTCACGCGCGCGAGAAGCTTAAAAACTTAATCACCATCATTCGCCGACTTCGCCGAACTCGTCCGTTTTACCTTAATTTCTCGTCACTCATGTGTAATGTAAAATTTATAACAATTCTCCGAGGGACTGTCCGTTACGGATATCGGGCCGAGATGTACGTGTCTTTCTTCCAGGTATAGGCTGGCGCCGGATCGTAAAACCGACTTCACACAAGTTCACGAGATAATCGATCGCGCTTTAATGGAGTGCTTTTCTTCTTAAATAATTTACGTCGATGGAAACTTTTAAAATTCTCTAAGCAAAATTCGGAATTTAACAAATTGCCAGAAGTACATGTTGTAGACTTGATGAATTTTTTAATTTGTAAGATGTGATGATTTATTTTTAATTACTCTTTCTTAGCAAAAGAGTTTATATATTTGTCAACTAGAAATCAATTTCAGAAGAAACTTTCCGAATATAATATTTTTCATACAATATAATGTGTTTATTAATTATTTAAAACTATTTTAAGATTGATTTTTTTAAATATTATTTTAATTGTATATATTTCTAAAATTATATGTTTAGTTTTTAACCTGCATAAAATATTTGCAAATATTTTATGCAGATCTTCGCGTCACAAATACATCAAATTGCTGTTCCACATTTTAACACTAGAAATACCAAATGTCCATTTTTTTAACATTTCTATGTTTTTAAATTAATATGAATGATGTGATCTTAAAATTTTCTAACTTTAATATCCCAATTAAAGAGAATAATTAATAAAAAGACAGAAAATTCAGAGAGCGTAATCTTAAATACCCGAGAATAAAGTAATTAAAAAAAGAAAAAGAAATCATCAGAGACGACCGCTCGATACTTCCAGTGTTGAGACCACTCGTGACTTTTACAAATGGATCGCAGGTGTGAGAGCGGTTTAATGACGAGACAGATCCGGCTGCTTCGTAAGGAAGATATCAGGAATGCACGATCACGACTATGTGCACGCATCCGCATGCGTGAGTGTATATGTAAAGCCTTCACGAGAGCGTGTCCCTCGCCGGGTTGCGGCGGGAAAGGGTCTCTCCTACGCGACGGAGGGTAGTTAGGTAGGTAGGAGAGATCCTCGACCGCAAATATGTCATAACTCACGCCGACCTCGCCGGGGAGTACTTACACCCCGGTATGCGGTCGTAGTCGCAGGCAGAGACACGGGACATTTCTCGGAAGAAGGCGTAGAGGCGGATTGACACGTCTGACATAACGCCGGTGTTATCGTGAATTGTAACGCGAATGTTAGAGTAATGAGCCGGAGAGTTGGCGATTCGCGAAAGGCGCTACTGCTTTTCGAGGAATTATTAGCTGGAACCCGAATCTCGTTGTGACGATGATATATGTTCCCAGTTATACATTAGATATAACAAGCCGTTATTTAAATCGGAGTGTATAGTGTAATATATAATTAAAATATAAATGTAATGAAATCTACATGGAAAGAACAGTTTTACTGAAATTTTTTTTAAAAATTTGGAAAAAAATTTTTTCCTCAGACGGAAATTTAAAAATAATTTTGTTGGATGTTTAAATTGATTACGAAAATGTCAAAAAATGTAAAAAAATTTTTATAAAAATTTTTATATATATTATTACCACGCCTATATGATTCTATATAATTATTTTGATAATTTAACAAAGTTATTTTTATCTGTATTTGGCCAAATTTTTTAAATATTTTAAATTGTATGCGACATATCTAAATGTGATGTAAATAAGAATAGGAAAATGCAAAAATATAACTATTGTCATCTTTATTTTGTCATCTCTGCAAATTCGAGAGTAATATAATTTTTTGATAATACTAATAATGTGATCTTCGAGCATTCGATCTTTCAATCTTGAAAGTTTACGAGAGATTAGGCAAGATTAGGCAAGTGACGTTGCTCTTGCATCCGGCAATATGCAAAATATTATCTTGCGGGAAAACTAAGTAGGAAAACAGGAAACTTATCGCTGCATGTTTTGCGACGGAGATAAAACCAGTTCGTGGGA